TCCCCCCCTCCCTCCCTCCCTCCCTTAGTCTCCACTGCTCCCTTTCTCCCTATTCCTTTTTAGATATGCCCAGTAAAGCAATGCTACTTTGTGAGACACATGTTTAGAAATTCTTCACTGTAGAAAACTTGCTGATCTAAAATTACAGCAACTTCAACAACAAAAGAAAGGAGCCACAGACAGCCGAGCAGCCTGGGTGACTCTCCAGGGAGCTGTGCTGAATGAAGCAGCTGGTGGCTAAAGTCCCACCCTGGGTGACTCCAGTTACTCAACTGTGCACTGACGAGCTCCCAGAAACAGAGATGAGCTCAGGAGGTTAAGGATTTAGGAGTGAGGAATGTGAACGGAAGTGTGTAAGGTAAAAAGGAGCAACAGAGCCAGGCATGGTGGCGCACACCTTCAATCCCAGTACTGGGGAGGCAGAGGTAGACAGATCTCTTCTGGTGATTTGAGGCCAGCCTGGTCTACATACCAAGTTCCAGGCCTGCCAGGACTACATAGTGAGACCCAGTTGATAAGACACACAGTGCTGGTGTTCCACACCCTACTGCGCTAGTGGAAATGAGATCCTATAAGAAGTACAACACTGTACACAGGACCCGAGTCCAGGGATGCAAGGCCAGGGTAAGCAGAGTACTTAGCCCTGCATGCATGAGTTAGTTCCAAGCAGCAATAAATGGCATCTATGTCCACTTTCTGGTTGTGATACTGTACTGTACTCTGCTATCTGCTACCGGTTGTGTGTGTATGTGTGTGTGTGTGGGTGTGTGTTACACCTGCACATGTATCTGCAAAGTCAAAAAAAGGGAAAGTGAAGTAGACCTTGTATGGCATCACATCCATAAATAACCCCAACACTTGGGAGGCTGAGGCCAGAGGAGAGACACAAGCCCAACGTCTGACAAAATGAAACTCCCTATGAATAATATATGCCAATAAACCAAAGACCACAGTTTCTTCGGGGTTTCCCTCCGTGCCTGGAAAACCAAACAGCACTTACTTTTAGTTGCTGGGTAGTTGGAGGGCTTGAAGTGGCAGCTTGGACCTCCTTTTCTTTCAGTTCTTTGTTGACATGTTGTTGAAATGGATCTAATTCAGAACAGAGCAGTGAGCACAGGGAACAATGCAGGGCTTTCTAGTCTGAGAGTGATGGACTCGTGTCCCATCACCTCTGAAAATGACACGTTCACCTCTAGTCCCTGATGAGACCAACATGCTGATCTTCCTGGCAACGAAAGCTTAGTAAAGAGCGCCTGGCAAGCTGAACACAACATCCCAGCCTGAAGCCTCACCTCAAGTTCAAGCCTTGGCCGCTGCACTTGAACCCATCTCTTCTGTGATTTCTGAACTACACAGCCGAAAGTTCTGCTTCTGAGTCTTTCCCTTTACACCAAAAATCCTCTCACCTGCATGCTACTCCTTCACAGAAAGGTGCCTTGTGGGGGTCGACCGTGCCAGGCACAGCACTGGCTCCAGGCAGAGGTTAGAGCTGGCTCCCCTTTGACATCACATTCTAGTCCTTACCATGCCACACCAATTCAAACAAGCCAGCACAAGTTCCTGTCCATCTGGCACATGGCAAGATTCCTGAGGGCAGGCTCCATGCGTTCTGCACAGCAAAGGAAGGCTGGGGCAAGATGAGCCACTCTCACCTTGGGACGTTCTCTGGGAGGAGCTGCTGCCTCCACTGTCCTCTTCCAGAAAATTGGTTTCCAGGCTGAACAGGGACTCGTGTTTTGCATCTGTGAACTCCTCCGAGGATTTCTGTGACGCATCGGCCGGCTCTTCGCCATCTTTTTCTTTGGAGACATCAGCTAGGGACATACCTGAAATGTTGAAAATCATTTCGTAAAACTTTCCAGGGTGTGGTAGAGCTCGGTGAGTTCTAGGTCAGCCTAGTCATGGCGATTTCCAGACAGCCAGACCTACAGAGTGAAACCCTGTCTCAAAAATAAATAATTTACTCATACTTAAAAGTTGACAAAATCAAATTAAAACACTGATGCTCACTGCATTTTATTTATTTATTTATTTATTTGTTTGTTTGTTTTGTTTTTTTTCAGGGCAGGGTTTCTCTGTGTAGCCCTGGATGTCCTGCAACTCACTTTGTAGATCAGGCTAGCCTCCAAATCACAGAGATCCACCTGCCTCTGCCTCCCAAGTGCTGGAATTAAAGTTGTGCACCACCACCACCGCCTGGACATACTTGGTCTCTTATTGACGAGGAACAACCCCTTCTGAGCTGTCACAGTGACAAAAGTATGTTCCTCTGATAAGCCAGGCACTCTTATATTATGTCAGAAGAAATCCCCCAAAGAGTAAACCAACAGCATTTTCCTGAGGGTCTGTGTTTCCAGCAGATTCGAAAAACACAACCAAACTCAAATGACTAAATCTCTGCTTTGGAGCCAAATGCTCTCACTCAGCCCACACAGCACAGGACACTGTGTCCTGGCAAAGAGGATAGGCCAACCCCCAAACACTCACACTCCTGTGTCTCAGCTGTCTCTACTGTTTCTTCTTCCACAATGACATCTTCATCACCATCTTCGTCATTCATTTCTTCATCACCTACAGCACTGTCATCCTCCTCCTCCTCCTCCTCCTCGTCCTCCTCTTCGGAAACATTCTTTAGCGTAGAAAGCAGCCTGTGGTACCCTGAAATGTGCTCTTGTTCACTCTCAGAGTCACTTTCAGAATGTGAAGAATCTGAACTCTCTGACTAAAGGAAAATGGGAATCTTTTAAAAACAAAATTATATTGTTTTATTGTCACACTAATAAAATAAAATATAATGTGAGAAATGCATATTAATGGAATTTCCTTAGCCTTAAAGAAGGAAATTATGTCACGTGCAAGAAAATGGATAGAATGGGAGATACTTAAGTAAAAATAAGAGAGACTAAAGGCAAATAAATATGTTCTCTCCTGCATGGGGAAACTAGATTTAAAAGAACTTAGAAGTCATGAAATTAAAAAGGATGAGCATTTGGAAAGAGAAAAAGGACCAGCAGAGGTAGAAGACTGAGGGCCAAAAGAGGGCAATGAATGTGTGGTATGAATACAATCAAATAATTATTCTTGGAAATACCCTAATGAAATCCGCTACTTTGTATAATGAACATATACTAATTAAAAAGGAAACAAAAAACCCAATGAGCTTTTCTGAAAATAATATACAATCTCATCTCCTTAACCAAGCCCAGCATGAAATTGACATAAAACAGTTAACCAAGCTACGGTCCCTATTAGCTGCACATGGAATGCAAACTGACTTTTCAAACAGAAATCTAGGTTATGGCTTCAACTTGCATCTCAGACATTAGGCTTCATGTTTCAAGGCACAAGAGGAAAATTACGAGTGAGTGCCATTGTCTCAGTCTACTGGCCCCTTGTCTATTCTATACTATGTGTGAATACATCACCATGAATGCACTGAAAGCCAGCGCTCCGATGAACCTTTCCAACAGAGGTTCACAGCATAGTGTCATGGGGTAGTCTCCAACTCTGGCTTCTATGGTCACACCACAGTTTTTACAGCCGTCTATCCCATCATTTAAAATTAATTAAGTAACATTACTAAAATCACAGCTTACATCCCAAACAGAAAAACACAGCAATGTACCCAAGCTTTACTTTTACACACAATCTTAAAGGTTAACAACCCAAATCCAACTACTATAAAGAAAAAAAAAAAAGCATTACCAGCTGACAAATCTGTGGCGTTGCCTCCTTTTTGGAAACCCTAAAAAGAAATGGAAGATGTCAAATTTTAGCTCTAATTTGTAACGATCACGAAAGGCCTAATGATTCTGCTTTAAGTGAAAGGATGCAGAATATACGATAATAACCAGTCACTGTAAAAAATTCTGAATGTGCCGGGTGGTAGTGTTGCACATTATTCCCAGCACTTGGAAAGTAGAGGCAGCTGGATCTCTGTGAGTTCGAGACCAGCCTGGTTTACAAGAGCTGGTTCTAAGACAGCCTCCAAAGCCACAGAGAAACCCTGTCTCCAAACCCACCTCACTCCCCCAAACTTCTGCATGCACAAGGGCAAAGATGACCAGAGGACAAACGGGCAACAGGAGAGTGAGGCGATCACGTGACAAAGAGCGACTAAGAAACCGGCTTTTAAACCACACATCGGGGTTGACCTCTCTGGGTGCCCTGGCTGGGCTGAGCTCCCCTGCCTCAGTCCCCGCGGGCCGGACAGCACCACGGCTGCCTCTGCAAGTCTACCTGCAGGGTGCACTCCGCAGCGGGGCGCGCGGCTCGCCCCGACCCCCGCGCTCCCTGGAACCCCCCCGCCCCGACCCCGTGCCCACCCCTGGAACC